GCTTCTTTTTTGACATTCAGTAACATGTTGATGCATCGCAAAAAGTTAATAGACAAGTCTGGTAAGCACCAAGATATTCATTTTTCTCAAGCTTCCCTTCTTAGGGTTGTAATATCAAATCTGTAACCAAGGCTATTCTTTTGGCAGAGAATACTTCACTTGTACCTGCTATCTATATTGGCCATTTCTCAATTGATAAATCAGAACTCATCAAGGATACATTCCTATCATTCAACAACTGGGGGAAAGGCATTGCATTTGTTAATGAATTTAATTTAGGGAGATAGTGGCCGGTAAAAATAACTTCTCTTTTATCTCTTGGGTGTATTTTGTTTGTGATTAGATTGCATGGCCAATATAGTTTGTTCTCTATATTTATGATTGTTTTCCTCTTGAAGTATTAATATGTGTACGTCTTTCTAATAGCTGAGAGGACCTCAGTGCAACCTCTACGGTCCAGCTCCACTCCTTAAGGAAGGGGGTAATACCCTGGTATGAGCTATTATCTGTCTTTAGTATAGAGATGTTCACCCGGGTTAAATCATTTGAGACCAGAATTATTTTACGAATTAATTATTGAGTATTTTATTGAAATTCATCTGTCTTTCTTGTATGAAGTCTTATTTTTGTAAATTGTCGCGCAGGTTATACTTGAGTTGGAATCTCCAAACCCTGAACTTGTGGTAACACTCGGTCGATGAGCCAGACTTCACCTGTCGCTCAACCCTCAAGTTCAACCCTCAAGTCGAAGGAAAGAACCAACATGGGTCCCAAGTTGATGTGAGGGAATTAGAATAGCTGTACGTTCTTTTATAGATCAGACAAAGTAATTGAAGTTAAATCAGACAGAATAATTGAGGTCTTATTCATATTATTATGGATGGGTTAAATAAAAAATCTAGGGATTAAAAAAAAAATTCGAGCAGTAGTTCAGATAAACAAATATCACGTTGGATAAGCTGGAATTCTGTGCGTAATAAATGGAGGATATTATCATTGAAAAGGATTTCAATTCTTTCATTGTTATATTGTTGCACACAATAGTATATATGATTATGAGCTCCTGAAACAACGGTGTAATATAATCTTCATATGATAACAACGTATATTTCTGATTGTTCTGGCCTACGAATATCACTTTGGATAAGCCTTGGTTTGTTTTCCATTTCACGGGGGCCAGTATCTTTGAAAAATATCTCCATTCTTCCATTCTTTGGCCGTTGCATACAGTGGTAATGTTTTTGAACTCATGAACCTATCCTGAAATGCAATTGCTGCTTACCATTAACCTGGAATTCATTACAGTTTGAATGAGAAAGGGCAAAAAAGTGGCTTATTTCCCCATGGTGGTAACGAAACTGACTTCACAACAATGCATAAGATAATTTCCTCAGGCCAACCAATCGTACGTATCAATACAATGATCCCATATAAACACTAATGAATACATAAAAGCAGCATAGTGAATTACATTCTGCATGCACTGAGGAGATGTGTCAAGCAAAGCCTTTTAATTGCTTAATATTTTTTTCGATACATGACGGAGCAAGAATTAAAAATAAGATCTCCTGCTGCCCTTACTACTTTCAGATGTTTCTAAACTGGAAAACAATCTAACACCTAAATTTCTCTCTAAACTGGAAAGTTGAAGCCCTTACTACTTTCAGATGTTTCAACATTGTGCAGAGACCGGTTGGTTATGCTACTGGCCTATAGTTTCCCTCTAATTAAACGAGTTCATCCTTCTCTGGAATAATATGTAGTAGTTTTATGCAGCACAGATCACTGGGTTTGAGATTCCCCTTTTCATTTTTATAATATTCCCTGCCGACAGGCCATGATGAGCAGATTCCATGCTGAATTTGAAAAAAAGAAAGGTTGGGGGGGGGGAGGTGGGGGAGAATATTCTTGTCTAAATACGGCTGTTAAAACCAACAGAAGGTTTAAATCTTCAGCTAATATTCTTTTAGTCAGTGGAAGTATTCTTGATCTAAAATTAGGACTTTCTGGATGCTTAACACAGACAGTTGAGGGACAGAAGAAGAAGCTAGAGGAAAGTTAGCAATTGCTAAATCAGCGAAGGTTAGTAGTAGTAGTTGTTTCATACGTCTTTGTTTGATTGAGATTCTGTAAACTAAATACATGCCTCCCCCTTTTTTTCGACATACAGAGACTTGATTGCTAATTACCGGAAGTCTGTGGAAGAGCTTGTTAAATCTGAGCCATAAGTTCCAGTCAATCCAATGTGTAAGGAACTTTACACGAGGCTATATCTCAGTAGATTAATGGTTATTCTCTTTTTATCAGCAGCAAAGATGCAAATTATTTTGAAGTTGAGATGGACTTGAAACATCTACAGTCATCTTTATTCATATGGAAGCGTAATACTTGATATATTCGAGATGAAATGCCAGTGAAGATGATTAACTGTAGGCTTAGGGGACTTCACAGCATTTTCCCTCGCCAAACTAAGAAGACGCAATTATAAATGCAGCTTTATTCGTCCATTTTCATTCAAGCATGTTAGTTAACTAAATTTGCATCCATTTGTGGTCTAGAGTGGGTTAGTGTGAAGCTAGAAATGAAACTAATTAATTTTTAATCCCCTTTCACAAGTATAGGAGTTGTCTGTTATAGAAGCCAAGAGCCCCTGAGTTCCAATAGGCTATTTGCTTATTAGTTCAAAACTAAACCGAGATATTGTTTTTGCCTTTATTTCTTCTGGTTGTTCCTCTTTACCTACCTGATACGTTGATTTCATCAATGACAAATAGAAAGTATGAAAGAAATTTGTGAGCCCCTGTACGTTTCTTTAGTTAACTTCAAAGTTCAAACACGTGTAATGCAGGGCTCTCTATCATCAATATCTGGATATTACGGTTCTGAAGGGAAAAATCAGAAGTTTTGACAAATAGGTTGCAGGAAATGTGGAGGCAACTGGTAACTGGGAGATTAAATTTCCATATTTAGCTCCTCATAAGTATAGTTTCTCTATTGATTATTGATATTTCTTCTCTGTAACAGTCCCCATCGTTGTTGAGTGAACCTTGTTATTTAATGTCATTGAAGGTTCTGTAAATGGTAGAACAGGCCTTTTAGATTTCTGATTTCTGAGTTCAGCTCTAAACTGCAGCTTTTCATATGACGTAAAAATCTGCCAGAGGATATCCTTATTCGACGCTTCATTAAACACACCATTTACAAGATCAGCAATTGAAAGTCTTGAGGGGGAAAAAACATGAGAGTACAAGACAATTTACAATAATTGCATTTTGCATGGAATGTTTTGACGTTGATGCGCATGCTAGATCACTAGCTAGTTTTATCCCCGCTTTTTTAATTAATTATTATTATTAGTAAAAATAATCAAGATGATAACGTGTGATTTTTTTATTTGATAAGGGCATTCCTTTTGAGAGTTAGAATGCAAGAAGTTTTCATTTCTTCCAACAAGTATGATTTTTAGTTACAGGATAAAATTCAAAGGACTCTGATTCTTTTTTTTTTTTTTTGGGAAAATATGTTGATTTTGATCAAGAAAGTTGTACAACTCACAAACACCTGCATATAAAAGCTAAGTTAAATTAATGAAAATATCATTCTCAATTTTGGATTTTGTATTTTAAAAATTGAGTTGTTCATAGTTGAACTGCTGGACCATAATTTTGAACTTCTTTTAAAAAAATGATATAAAAGAGTATTTATAATAAATATAATCTATATGAAATTAATCACTTTTTTCTCCAATCTATTTTCTTCTATTGAGAAAAATATAAGGAAGAAAAATCACATCCCTCGATTTTCTCCCCTCACTCTATTTTCAAGTTCAAAGAGACATAAAGATTATACTCCTCCAGTCCTTAGGATCTAATTGTTGAATTGGTTTTGATTTTAAATATAAGACACATTTTTTATATTTATCATTTTTCTCTAAATTACCCATATAGATACTCCCTCAACCATAATCAAATAGAAGAGGGAGATGAGATATTAAGAAAGATGATTATGATGTTTTAGGAAAAACATATCATATTTTTTATAATTAACTAATTTACCTAACTTCTTTAATCTAATCAAATTAGTTAAATGAGTCTTATATTAAGAATCGGATGAGTAATTATTATGAAACTAAAAGTTAGTTATGAAAAAAAATTAATAAAACAATTTTAACGCACACTATAATTTTTATCCGCATGGTTAATAGTTAAGTTGATTATCAGTTGTCGTCACTATCAAAGTAGTAAAAATATAAATATTTATATATTTATCTATCTATCTATCCATATACATATAAAAAAGTGCTGCAAAATAAGCAGCCGTCGGATTGGCTTCCTTGTTAGAAATAGGAAGTGGTAACTTCAATTCCTCTATTTATAAAGCAGGTAGGGGTGATATAAAAACTTACTAAAGTTTATTACTACCTCCTATATTTAACTTTTATTTTGATCCTAAATATAAGATCCTATCCATTTTGCCTCTTATATTTATACTTTTTTTTTTTCAAAATAATCCTTCTAACAATGATAATTCTAGTCAATACACTTAATTAGTAAGGATATTTTAGAAAAAACAAAACAAATAATTAACTCGGCTTACTTTCTTAATCTCTTTAAATTAATCAACTAATTTTTATAATTAAGATCGGAGGTAGTATAATGTAACATGTTAAATTTTATAATTATCCAAGAATATAATATAATGTGTACTACCATGAAAAATAGTAAGGTGATCGCTCGTCTTGCACTGAAACTATTATTTGTTTGTTATATGGACATATAGCATATTGTATAGATACAATAGAAAATAATTCAAGTAACTGAAATTAGTGTGATTCTTCCTGCATCCATTGCTTTCATTTCGAATCGGACAAACAAACGATCGCACCTATCATGGTTCAACGCATCTTGTCGAGTGCATCTCATATTCTTAAGATAAGTGCCTAATGATATGGCCAGCATTAGATTCCACGGATGACACTTCCCATAGTTTCATTCCTTTCTTCTTGACATCAACAGGGAAGGAACAAAAACCAGCACAAGAACACAGCTTACATCAAGTGTCCTGCATCCCCCTGGCAAAATTATCTTCTAGGGGGGGGATTAAGACACAATGCACAGGGCCAGTAGGCCTCTTTGCCCCAAACCTTACAACATGAGCTGTACAGCCAAAAATTTCGTTTCCAAATTCCAAATGAGGGAAAAATCTATTTGCTTGCTGAGATATTGATCTTAGTAGCGTGCTTAATCTTCACAAGAAGCTTCTTCCAGGAGATCCAGAAATCCTTTTTGAGTAATATTGCTGACTGTGGGGGTTTTACTCAGAAGCCCCTTGGTAGATGCTGCTTCAAATTTTGTCCACAATTCTTTCTTCAGTGTATTCTCACCAGGGCATTTCCCAGCTCGAAACGAGCTTTCAGGCTCAAGCCACATAGTGCTCTCCACAGAGGATAAGTTGCCACCAATGTGTTCTACACAAATAAACACATAAATAAGCCAAAATCATGTCAACCCAGTAACTCAGAAGGTGTGAACAGTGGAAGATCAAGTACTACCTTTGTTACAAGATTTTTTGGTTTGACCATGGTCTTCGAAAACATTGTCTTTCAATTTGTTAGTTTCTTTATTAATAATAACATTATCTGTCATCTGTAAACCTTTTTCAGCCTTTTCCAAACCAAACGGCTTCTCATCAGGTGGCTCCAGCAAAACACAAGTTTTAGGAGGCGACATAAACCAATCTGGGGATGCTTCTGTTGTTTTCTTTCCAGCTGCAGATTTAGAAATATGTTGTATCCCTAATAGCTCCAGATACTTCAATGCCAGATCTTTTGAAGCTTCACTACCAGAAGAATCAGGAGTTTCTGAATCGCTATAATGAATCCCAACAGGAAACGGAGTGGATTTGCGTACCTTGTCATTGTCTTTGCCTGGATGACAGATTTCAGATATGGGTTCAAGCAAAACACAAGATTTAGGGGGTGACATTTTTAAGCATGGTGTCATAACAAGCATGGAGCTTTCTCTTTTAGGAAAAAGCGGAGAAGAAATAAATCCATTTTCTTGAGCATTCGCCTCTTGAATCGCAACAGGAGCAGAAGGTTTGAGTGGAGTTGGCTTCGCCACAGCAGCATCAAACGAGCAGTCAGGTATATCTCCAGATAAGGCAAAAATATTTGATGTCCCACAAGCATAAGTAGAGGAAGATAACCTATTGAACTCCGATTTAGGTGGCTCCTGACGTTTGCATGATAATGCTTTTGATATAGGAAGTGGCGTGAGCATAAACATTTGTCTACCTCTCTCAATGGTACAGTTAGCCCGCCAGGATACGAGAGGAGATGGAGAAACCAGAAAGTCCAACTTGGCCTCCCCAGGACTGTCACTGACTTTACTTTCATCTCTGACCTCGTTAGACACTGGATTTTTAGCCAAAACCTGTTGAGGCTGACTTTCAGACTCTTCGAAGGTCGTAGATAGTGCCATCTGGAACCTGGCCTCCCATGGCTGTAATCAGAAAAAACACTCATCAATAAGTAGTGAAAACGGACTACTCAAGCATGAAACGAATATAGAGCATTGACCTTTAAGGATGATAGCATGTCAGACAACACATGCGAGAAAGATTCAATCTCTTTTCTCCCCTCTTTGCCCGTGGTCTTGAGTCTAAATGCTTGGGCGACAAGCTCATCAATCTGCCATTCAATTCATTAATTCATAAAGAAATTTTCCTGCACTTCTGAAAATTCCTATTGAAATAAAATAAAGGCAAAATTCTTAGCCCATAGTATAAAACCTTGAAACCACATATTCAACAAACGAATCTAGTATCCATCTGGTTGGACAAATAGAAAATTTTGGATAACAAAGCAAGCTAGCTAGCGTCACCCAAAAAAAGCAAGCTAGCCAGTCTGTTTCAATATATACTCTATTCAAGTGGCTGTTGTAATAGGAGTGTAATAAAAGTAGTCGGCTAGGAAGAAAATGAAATCCAAAATTGAAAAAGTATTTCTCTATAACCGAAAATTCCAACTAGAAACATGCCTATGTTCCCTTCTCAACATGAAAACTTCATATCCGTCAAACTAGGTCAACTAAGTAATATTACCTTGCCCTAGAATTGCAGTAAACAAAGCCACCATAAGTCCTAATGACTTGGTTGCTTCAAAAACGACGCAAATTTATTTCTGACCGCTTGTAAATCTAGAGAACCAACTAAAAAACTACAATTGGATTGAACAGACACCTGATGAAGAATAGAGGAAATATCGGACTGAACAAGAAGAATGCGATCGAGCACGTCGTCATCTTCTTTCTCTTCTTTAGCAGTCTCTTCCTTTTGCTTCTGAGATACCGTCTTCACGTTCGCAGATTTGAAGGATCGCCGACCATAGTTGTTTGTTACATTCCTGAGCGGCTTCCTCTCCGACTTCACGTTCACTTCATTCAGAGGCATCTCTCTCTCTCCCTGCGACTTCGCTCCGTCGAGGATTTTTGAATTTATTGTCGGATTTGGAGAGGCGGGCTTCTCCTGTGCAATTTCAAGAAGTGAGGCTATTTTCAATTCCCACTTCCCACGTTAGCCGTTTAATTTGGAGTCCGGAAGCAAACGACATGGCGTTTTAGGAACAGGATCGAACGGGCCAGAGGCTTGGTAATTCATATCAAATAATCATTAGAAGGGGAAAAAAAATATTCAGATGTAAATTTAATTCGAAAGTTTTCATTTAGAAGCTTTAGGTATTCAAAAAAAAATTTTAAAGTAAATGTGTTTCGAAAATTTAAAATCATAATACTATTACCTCTTACTATCAAAAAAGTGATGCTGATAGTTAACACTTTCAGTGATAATAAGTAATATTTCTTATTTCAAATTTTCAAAATAAATTTGCTCTCAAAAAAATTTTTCGAATATCCAAAATTTCTAAGTGAAAACTTTTAAAACAAGTTTACATCATAACCCAAAAAATAATCCTTGTTAAGTCATGAGTACAATTCAAACAGATTTTTTTTTTTTTAAATCAATCATAATCTTGATCTCTTGTTGGCTCTTGTTTGCTTGATTTCACTACAAAATGATGGTTTTGTTCCCTGCTTACTACAAACATGAGTGATAGTGTTTTGCCCCCAAAAGCCTTAGCTCGCCCAATGCAATTGAAAACCCAAAAAAAAAAAAAAAGACCTCATTTTTCACGTAAAAGTTATGGTTTTTTTCGTTACCTTGAAAACAAAAGAGGATTTATAGGGAAGATAAATAAATAGATAATGTTAGGCTTCGAATTATGTGGAATCCATCTCCTGTCATTTTCAATTTGTTTACATTTTTAGAAATATTTCAATATAACTAAAACCCATATATGATATAAAATGTATAAAAATTTCATTATCCATAAACCGTGAACAACATTTCCCTTGAATCTTTCTTAAGCTTTAAGTTGTAAGTTCTTTTAAGTTCTTTTTAAAATTGCCTATGAACTGAGTTTATTTTCTAATATCAGAAGATATTTTTAAGTTTAATTTATAAAATGCAAATGAGCTAATTTCATAATAAAAAGTTTTAAAACATAGGTAAAGATAGAAGTCAACAACGCATTTCGCTGAAATTCCCTTCTGAAATGCCTTTCCAAAAATGTTAGTACAAGAAGAAAGCAATGAATCAATTTGAGAATATATCAATGCAAATTACAGAACTGCAAAATCCTTACCCAGCTCCATCACCACATATTCTAACTCAGGTCCAAAATTTTCTACACACTAATTGCACTTTTAACAAAATGAAGACTGGTACTTTGAAACAACTCAAACAAATGGCAAAAGAGAGATATTAACCCACCAGTTCTTGGACAAGTCTATGTTCCTATGAATACAAAACTATCAAACCTAAGAAAGGTAAAAATCAGGATAATGGAAAAAGAATCGTGTTGAATGCAGTGAATGAAACAGATCTTGCTCTTTATCTATCTTCCCTGCACAAGCCCACTGAAAACTTGGCTGTTCCCGGCAAGAGTTGCTTCCCACTCAATAGAAGACAAGAGAATCTGTGAGAGGGAAATCACAACTTGTTTCATATCAGGCCGCATGATGGGATCGTCGTCCACACATTGCTTCGCCAGCATCGCCATCTATGCATCAAAAATCAGAAAACACAAAAGGAACAAATGAAGATCGGGTCACACTACAGTCAAACATCAACGGAATTTCTTTCAGGACACAGCCCAAGTTTTCAAGTGTCTTCCATCAGACTACCATGCAATTGGATAATTCAAAAAAATCTTCTTTCATCATGTTTTAATTTAAGAATCTGATAGCAAATACTACCTTTCAGTCTTTAATATAAAAACTAGATAATTAATTTGGTCATATTAAGGAAATCAGTTAAGCTGAATATTTGTAACAAATGTGTCAACTTTCCTAGGCTATCATCTTTAATTATATGCAGAACTACCCCTTGATTGGAACCTTTTAATATGAATAATCAATAAGTTTATTTTGGGAAAAAATTATAAATTTGAGAGACAAAATGGATTGATGTCTTATATTTAAGACCAAATCCAACCTCTAAGTAATTTTTATATTTAAGACCAAAAAGCGATTTCAGAACACAGGAAGTTGGTTTTTCAGCATTGACAATATTGATCACATGAGAAATCAGCAACGAATGTAGCAAGTAGCAATTAGGCTACGCTCGTTCTTCCAACAATAGGCAAATATAGGAGGAAATGGAGAAACTTACCTTGTATACACAATCATGAGGATAAAGATCCATCATGTTGGGATCAATATAATCTCTCATATTTGACATGCTCAAGGAACCGGGTGTGTTTCTAAGGGTTGCCAGCATCTGCAATTTAGTGATGGATGTTAGTGCAATGCCCCAGATAACAGTTGCAACCATCGAGCACAGGGATATGCAATCATAGATTAAATCAGTCAAAGATATATTGCACTGAAACTGAAATTATCACATTCCAGATGAGATATGTCAGGACATGGCACAGTTTTCTCTTACAAAGGTTATTGACACATGGCACAAATATAGTCAATTTAACACACTGCCCTCCATGATTTGTATGTTCATCATACAACAACACAACCTGATAATCTGAACAAGTTGACATGAACAGTTTGTTACAATTATTACATGATGATAAATCATATTATACATGTTTGTTCAATTTTTAGAATTGCAATGTCAACAACATATCTTAGCGGGTATAATTGCACTACAAATATAACTATCCCAAAATCAAGCCATACCAGCCTGTCATCATTGTGAATTTTGTGACATCAGTGCTGATGCAGCAAAATCATCACAATAGTTACTAAAGCAAGACAAGCTCTTGCAACATTTTACTTTGAAGCAATGTAGAAGTATAAGCATACTGAACTGCGCCACACGTGCCGTTGTATTTAAATTCATGTCACATAACCCTAACTTACAATAGATGCCAATGAACGTCTTTCTGGATTTTTTGTCATTGTGCCTTCTGTTCGAATGATGGCCTCCCTCCCAGATATGATCTCAAAGAGAACAACACCAAATGCATAGACATCACTTTTGGATGTCGCAAGGCCATCGCTCAAGTATCTGCCAAACGAAGGAAATAAATAAACATATAATTTTTTAATCTTCTTTTTTCCCAGAAGAATGAACTGGAAAAAAATTGATGGACATCACTTACTCAGGAGCAAGATAACCATATGTACCAATTACTCTGGTGGTAGCAATTTCACCTTCATTTGTTGTCCCAACAAGTTTTGCTAGCCCAAAATCTGAAATCTAGATAAAGAAAGAAAGGACACATTAGCCGAAACAAAAAGTGCACAAAATAGTTAGAAATGATTCAACAATATTTAAATTTATTGTTACCTTTGCTCTGAAAGAAGCATCTAGTAAAATGTTGCTTGTTTTGATATCTCGATGGATGTAATGGGTTTTGGTGTGCTCATGTATGTATTCAAGGCCCCTAGCAGCATCAAGTGCAATCTGGACCCTCATGATCCAAGAAAGAGAGGAATGACCTGTAAGCAGGGGAAATCAAACAAGGTTATAAACTCTATGCAGAGTTTGTTCATGCTATGCACCACACGAAACAGACAATTCTAACCACTCAAACCTCAACTTTTAACATTGTAGAAAGCCTTTGCATTGTTGACTTCCATTAAAAATTTTATTCAAGTATTTCAGTCCGTAAAAATTGCCTTAATGACACAGACGCTGGCTGCAAAATCATTTTTTGTTACACTGAGTCATACTACTCATGGCTTATGAAAGGTATGACTTCCCATAAATCTTTTATAATAAATAGAGATGCAACTAAATGACAGGTTCTGATATCCCAAACTTAAGGTGCTGAAAATATATGAAATGATGACAAAATTACTTGTAGCATGGTAACAAAACATGACACGCCATCAACCATCCATGCAGCTAGTGTACTTTAATTCACAGATTACAACTATCCAAGTGATCTAAAGACAGTAGAAGGTCAAATCATCTGACATTAGAGTATTCCTTGATCCTGAGTAATTGGAATATGACCCAGAAGGAGCCAATATGCATTAAGATATAAAATATCAGAAGGTTACAATGCAAGACCCAATCTACGAGGTGGCGACACTAACGTTTATTTTCCTGTTTGGTGAACCCAAATACCATTTCCAATTATCAAAGTAACATGATCGACACACAGTCTTTGAGACTAACAACCATAGTAGCATTTTTCCCCCCTAAGCTAAAAATGTGGCTAAGTAGAACAACAGTGCAAATATTGTCCCTTCAATTTTTTCATTAATATCACCACATGCAAATAAATCACAATAAGCTACACAAAGAATAGGAATTCACAAGCTGCAAGTCCAAACATATGCCTTTGACTAATTTCACAAAACAAAGCATGAAAAGTAATCTTACCCTTGTTCTGAGGATCATGTAAATGGCTTTTGAGTGATCCCTTCAGTGCATATTCATAAATAAGGAAAAGTTCATCATGGCTAGCTGCATAGCCGATCAATTCTACCTTGACAAAATAAAAAAGGGACTCAAACTTTTGAAATCCTTAAATCGATTTCTCCAAAATCAAATCATTTGATATATTTTTCGACAAAGAAATTACCAGATTTGCATGATGAACCTTGCACAAGACTTTCATCTCAGACATAAATTCTTTAGTTTTTGTAGCCGTCATCCTTTTTATAGCAACTTCCTACAATGATTTACTGCATGTTCGTAAAGGTATAGAAATAATACTTGCTTCATACTATTACATGCTAAAGGAAGACAGCCACAAACCTGGTCTCGAAGCAGGCCATAATAAACAGAACCATAGGTACCATGGCCAAGTAGATTTGAATCAGAGAAGCAATCAGTTGATGAGAAAATCTCTTCATATGTGAAAACCACAGGCTTATCCATGTCAAATACATCAGTCCCTAGGGCTGGAAAAACACAGGAAGGCTTATT